TTTGTTTTTGCATTTTCAGAAGTCATTTCTAGCTTTGAAATCTGAATTTTAAACTTGAAGTAAAATTTGCTGGCATATGTGTTTAATTATTTAATTACACTAACTGATAAATTTTTGGTTTAATCCTTGGTTTTTCTCACTATTGCAACACAAAAAAAGAAGAAAGAAATCAAACCCATTGTTGTGCAGTCGATTCCGACTCATAGTGACCCTATAGGACAGAGCAGAACTGCCACATAGGGTTTCCAAGGCTGTTATCTTCATGGAAGCAGACTGCTACAACTTTCTCCGGAGGAGAACCCTGTAATCACAAATCACTAGCAGTGTAATCTCAGTCCTTTTCTTAAACTCTCTGAATCTCAATGTCTTCATTTATATAATAGACTAGTAATAACTAAACAATGGATAAATTAGTAGGATGAGTAATAATAACTAAATGGGCATAGTGCCTGGCAAGGAGTAGGTACTCATTAAGTACCAGTAAATGTCACTGTAGTAAATATTATTGTGTTTTTTTCAATTTTAGCTGAACTTTAATGAACCACTTTGATAATTTTTATATCTCACTAGACCACCATCAAGAAAGAAGCAATCACAGATATATCCAATGTATTTCCTAGCTCCTACATTTCTTCTGAATTTCTGTCTTTCCAAATAAATAGCGATAGCTACCTTCATAACTGTAGTTGCTTTGTTTACTAACTTCTCTGCTGCTACCAGAAATTACTAGTAATTTACAGTGATTGAGAACACTTGGCAAATGGACTTTATAAACTATATTTTAGAGAATCTATAAACACATTTTGAACATAAGTCAAGGAACAGTTTTCAAACAGATATACAAAACAATAATTTCTTCACATTATCTAATTCAAAAGAGATTAGAAGATTCTGGGAGTCATTTATTCCACTTTTAGTGAGGTGATGAGTCACACTCTGACAGGTAGAAGGCAAAGAGGAGAAAACAAGATGGAGAACAAAAAAAAAGCTTCCTTTTCTCTCACCAAACTCCATATGGGTCATGCAGCCTGTGTTTTGGGGTAGGGTGTCCCAACAAATAATGAGTAGGTTTCTCTTTCCAAATTTCTAACAAAAGAATGTTTTAAGGACGTGTGAAAGGCAGCTTGAGAAGATTTGGGATCCAACTCTATTTAACCTGCTTTGTATCCTGGCTAAGGAAATATTAGTATTTCACAGATTCAACTTACTTAGTCATCCTCCTTTTGGCCGTTCATTCTATAATCAAAGGCCAAAATCACTGTGTAAGGGGGAAAGCTGAGCAAAAGTTCCCCCTCATATGCTGTTTGTTGCTAACTGGTGTCAGGTTCCTCCTTCACATTAAATTAAGGTAAAATAAATGTTTTAGCGTTTCACCTTCGAGTACTTAAGAATACATGCCATATTTTGTTAGCGCTTTGGAACAGCGTTTTAATGTGGTCACTATGATATTTAAATGAATATCTGTAATTTTATGCGACTCATTTATTCCAATTGTTTTATTTCATCTTTCCAAGATTCTCATGTTGTTCTTCGTTCTACCCCACCCCCTCCTTTCCCTTTTTTGTTTTGTTTTGTTTAAAGGGACATAATATTAGATAAGAAAGTCAAATCCCAAACAATGTTGTCCGATCTCTTATCTCAGGCTCAAGACACAGTGGGGCATAAGTAAACATCCCTGGTATATCATCTTTCATGGTCCAGGATTCCTCACTTTCATTGACCAATTGTTTTTAGGGGAGGAGAAATTTGAGTATTAAGAAAGATAGCTCTTTGGTTAAATATACTCACACACACACACACACACACACACTCCAACTTACATCTCTACAGTGTTGAGAATGTTTCTATCATTCTTGCAACTCTGAACATATTAATGCTAAATAAATGTCACTTTTAAATTTATTCATCCTTTGGATTGGCATATTCTAGTCCCATATGCTTTTTTTTCTTTATTATTGCATATTAGGATGAGCTGTTCTAATATGCAAAACTCACATCTCATTCTTTGTATATTCAAAAATAAAAATCACATTTTTATGTTAGAATAGTTAAAGATTTTCAAAAGTATTTACTTGCCCAACCTTTGTGTCTTTTCCAAACCTCTTGAGTAAATTTGTTGATAAAACACTAAACAAGCCTCCAAAGCAAGTGGATTAAACAGATTTATGCTCCTGTGTGTGATGTGTGATAGGGAAGGGAGATGATTCCAGGTTAGCATAAATAGATTTTTAAATCAAATACATGAGCTTGGAGAAGTCTAGAAATGGATCTAATACAGAATGGAAAAATCTCCTTTAGTGAATTCCAAATCTCTTTCAATATTCATGGTTTATATATTTTGCTGTATTTTATTTCTTTTTAGCAAAATGCATTTGAATTTGTTAAAGAAAATAGATTTTGAAATACTAAAAAGATTTGCAGATAGTAAATAATTCTCTTAAAAAATACATTTGATAACAAAGAGTGGTGTTGTAGGAGCCCCTGGGTGGCACCAATTGCTAAGGCTCAACTACTAGCTGAAAGGTTGGTAGTTCAAAAACACCCAGAGGTGCCTCAGAAGACAGGCCTGGTGATCTGCTTCTGAAAGTTCACAGCCTTGAAAATCCTATGGAGCACAGTTCTACTCTGCACACATGGGGTCAGTAGTAGTGGGAATTAACTCAATGGCAGCTAACAACAACAGCATTAACAACAATAACAGAGTAATGGTGAGTCCCAAACGTGGAGTTAATTTTCCTTTAAAACAAATGTGAAATCACTGCAGAGATTTTTCAGATTGAGACAATGTGTTTCACCGGGTAACAGTCAGACCCACTTATATGTTTCGAATGTGAAGAATGAAATTTAAAATATTTGGTATTAATTCAAAATTCTAATATGTATAATTTATTGGGATGTTTACAAATATTTGCATAAAATCTAAGACAAAAACAAACATTATTTTAACTCATTGTTGAACTTTTTTTTTAACTTGAATTACTAACTGGAAAAAATATTTTTCAGAACATAAAAATATAATACGGAAGGGGTGATATATTGAAACAGTTAATAGTTTAATACTTTTTCAGTAATCATCAATAGTCATTAATCACACAGATTTCCAGATTTTAAAAAAAAGAAACTCATAAAATATCTACAGTATGATGGACTATGTTGTTGTTGTTAGGTGGTATCTAGTCGGTTCTGACTCATAGTGACCCTGTGTGCAACAGAAGGAAACACTGCCCGGTCCTGTACCATTCTCATGATCGTTGTTATGCTTAAGCCCATTGTTGCAGCCACCGCGTCAGTCCATCTCATTGAGGGTCTTCCTCTTTTTCGCTGACCCTCTACCTTACCAAGCATGATGTCCTTCTCCAGAGACTGATCCCTCCTGACAATACGTTCAAAGTGAGACGAAGTCTCATCATCCTTGCTTCTTAGGAGCATTCTGGCTGTACTTCTTCCAAGACAGATTTGTTGTTCTTTTGGCAGTCCATGGTATATTCAATATTCTTCACCAACACCACAATTCAAAGGCATCAATTCTTCTTCCTTATTCATTGCCCAGCTTTCACATGCATATGAGGGGATTGAAAACACCATGGCTTGGGTCAGGCGCACCTTAGTCTTCAAGGTGACGTCTTTGCTTTTTAACACTTGAAAGAGGTCTCTTGCAGCAGATTTGCCCAATGCAATGGGTTGTTTGATTTCTTGACTGCAGTTTCCATTGGTGTTGATTGTGGATCCAAGTAAAATGAAATCCTTGACAACTTCAAACTTTTCTCCATTTATCATGATGTTGCTTTTGGGTCCAGTTGTGAGGATGGATTATACAACTACTATATTAGAAAACATGCTAACTTGATTCTCTGTGATATGGCATATCAACAGTGCACATTTTAAAATACATGTGTCACAGATTGATAGCATGAGCTATTTTGGATACTTTCCTAGGAAGACTAGTTTGGAAAATTGGGAAATAGAGAGTTCTGTAAGTAATAGGAAGCAGTGTTGATGAGAGTGAAGAAAATTTCTATTGAAAAGAATTCAATAAAAATCAGTTAGTCATCTACATAAAGAAAGACATCTCATAATAATGAAAAGTTATATCCATTTGTGTTGAAGCAGTTTAGTGAAATTTTTTTTATCAATACTGTCTACATTTCTTTTTGTTTTTGAACCACAGAAAGTGGTAGGTACTTGGAAAATTTGAATCCTGGGTAAAAATTAACAGTGAAAAAATCTAAATTTAATTCTGGTTAAAGGAGTAGGTCAAATTCAGGAATGTGCCCTGAGAAAAATATGCCAATGTTTCTCTTTTCATCCAGTTTTCTTGGCCTCTACTTCATTAAAGGGGTATGAGGATGCTTGTTCCCGTTTTTCTCCTTCTCCCGTACCCTTTCTCTAACCTTGCCTCTCAGAATGGAGAAGCAAATATCCTGGCTATTTGGGCTCTTAAGCTAAAGAGGACAAGTGGCTCCCTGTGATCCTAGCGAAGGATTTATTATTACAAGGAAAAACTTGTAAATACTGTAAACTAATGGCAAAACCATTCCCTCAGCTTGCCACTCAAGATACCTAAGCACATCTCCATGTTTCACTGATCCAATGGGCACACAAATATCTGATTTCCCGACTCTGTATGCATACAATACGTACTAGTCCTATAGAAACAGTATGATGGTAATCAACACTTTATACAAAAGCTTTATTTCTTACCCCTTATTTATGAGATGACTACTTTGAAAAATTACCTCTATCCCTAATGTTTCTATATACATATTGATGTTTGGCAAAATTAAATAGAGTTTTGTATTCTATAGGCCATGAAAAAAAATTCTGTATTATAAGGAGTAAAACCTGTACTGTAAACATCAGACTACTAATATGCTAACATATAAACACATTAAAATGATCTCTGATAAGCATATTTCTGAGATATCAGCATATACATATATACACACATAAATATGTGTTTCTATTATTGTCTTAATTATTATTTTTTCTCTCTTTTTCAGATAGTGTTAAAAGGATTCTACAGCAATCTTTGGTATTGGACATATACAAAATCTCTTCAACTTTTGCCCTCCTGGTCCCTTGCCTTCCAGCTTTAACTTGTTTCAGATTCCTTCAAACATTTTACATGATTTGCAATGGTTACATGAACTTTGGGGAAGTGGTATTTGTACCATCTCATACTTTATTCACCATGGAACTTTAGGAAACAAAATTGGAAAGAGCTTCCAAAGCATTATTGTAAAAAAATGAATCTTATTGTGAAGCTTCGGAGAAGTTTTCGAACATTGATTGTTCTCTTAGCTACCTTTTGCTTGGTGAGCATTGTCATTTCTGCCTATTTCCTCTACTCTGGCTATAAACAGGAAATGACACTTATTGAAACCACTGCAGAAGCAGGATGTGCTGACCTCAAAATTCTACCATATCGGTCAATGGAGCTAAAAACAATTAAACCTATTGATACATCCAAAACCGACCCTACAGTCCTCCTATTTGTGGAAAGCCAATACTCGCAACTCGGTCAAGATATCATAGCTATCTTGGAGTCCAGTCAATTTCAATACCACATGGTCATTGCCCCTGGCAAGGGAGACATACCTCCCCTTACAGATAATGGCAAAGGGAAATATACTTTAGTTATTTATGAAAATATTCTGAAGTATGTCAGCATGGACTCATGGAACCGAGAGCTTTTGGAAAAATACTGTGTGGAATACAGTGTTAGTATAATTGGTTTTCATAAAGCTAATGAGAACAGCTTACCAAGTACACAGTTAAAAGGCTTTCCATTAAACCTTTTCAATAATCTAGCTCTAAAGGATTGTTTTGTCAACCCTCAGTCTCCTTTGCTGCATATTACCAAAGCCCCCAAGGTTGAGAAAGGCCCTCTTCCTGGGGAAGACTGGACTGTTTTCCAGTATAATCATTCAACTTACCAGCCTGTGCTTTTAACTGAATTACAAACAGAAAAATCCCTTCCATCTTTGTCCAGCAAAACTTTCTATGCGACAGTGATTCAGGATCTGGGGCTTCATGATGGAATTCAGCGAGTTCTTTTTGGCAACAACTTAAACTTTTGGCTGCACAAGCTCATCTTCATAGATGCCATTTCCTTCTTGTCAGGAAAGAGGCTGACATTGTCTTTGGACAGGTACATCCTTGTGGACATTGATGACATCTTTGTTGGAAAGGAGGGAACAAGGATGAATGTCAAAGATGTGAAGGTAAGAACATTTATGAATAACATCACAATTTCTATTTCATTAACTTTGAAGTATATGTTTGAGATAAAATAGGCAATTTTTACAACTATTGAACTAAGTCTTAACCACTCCTCCCACACATGTCAGAATGTCAGATATTTAGGGGGAGTGGGCAGAACTAAAACATCGCAGATTATCTGACCTTATTCTCCTTGCCTCTATTTAGGCTTTGCCCAGCCCAGCTAGGACCCCTTAGAACTGGCCTATTGTTGTTGACATGTTGCAGTTTGTAGCAATGAGACTGATATAGTCATGGAACTCTACCCCTGTGCTGACCCCCCTGCCCTACTGAGTATGACAATGTTTGTTAAAATACAAGATGAGGAAGCAGTCCAAGACGTTTCCATAACTCAAATATTGATATTTAAAAAAATAGTCTTATAGAACATGTGGTACTGGACTTGACCTATTGGACTATCTCTATTATAAATTTATCATATTATTTTGGGTTGCTGGTAGCACATCTAAGTTATGTATAACAAACTCATTTTACGATTGCTAATAGAGAAAGAAAACGTAAAAAAGTTACACCAAGTTAGGTAGGCTATTTTGGGAATAAGTCCCTTTTTCCTCATTTTGACTCAGCATTCTCACATGACCTTTCACATATGTCTCTTCTACTCTATATGTAACTAAACTCATTCTGCATATAAATAATTTAAGAAAGCATATAAATAAAAATAATAGAACACGATTTATAAAGGAACTAAAGATTGTTAAGATGATACTATCCTTCTTGAACTCCTATTATTAGGTTTTTTATCCTCCAAAGATGACGCCTGGATACTATTTCAAAATCTATCCTAAAACCTTAAGACATAATTAGAACCAGTAAAATAAATTCACATTTTTAAAATTTTCAAATTACATGTGGACCAGTGAACTCGATGTTTAATGAGTCACTGAATGAAGCACTGTGTAACTCTGACCCAAATATTTCATTTTGGGAATATTGTAAAAGGATTAAGTGACCTCTTTCAAGTTCTGGCTAGCTTCTTCTTCTTCTTCTTTTTTTTTTTTAATTCCTTTGTGTATCTGTGTTTTATACTTTTGATTAATAAAAATGCTGGCATTATTTTAATTTTAAAATAAACTTAACAAGAAGTCACATGCTTCAAAAGGTTATCTGACTGGTTGGTTCCTCTCCTAAAAGGATAGGGTTTCCAAATTTCAGTCTCTATGACGTGAAAATTCTTATAGTTCTAAAACAAATTTTCCAGCTCAATTTTAGCTATTTCGTTTATTCTAAATAGAAAAAGAAAGAAATATTCACCACTACTAATATGATATTAAAAGTCACCCCTGGTGGTACTGTCATTAAGAGCCTGGCTGCTAACCAAAAGGTTGGCAGTTTGAATCCACCAGCCACTCCTTGGAAACAGATGGGGCAGTTCTACTTTGCCCTGGAGGATCGCTAGGAGTCGGAATTGACTCGACGGCAACAGGTTTGGTTTTTTGGTTAATGACTCTTCAGGGGCCCTGATAGTGAAATGGTTAAGAGCTCAGCTGCTAACCAAAAGGTCAGCAGTTTGAATCCACCAACCGCGTCTTGGAAACCCTGTGGGGCAGTTCTACCCTGTCCTATAGGGTCGCTGTGAGTCAGAATCAACTCGATGACAAAGGGTTTGATTTTTGTTTTTTTTTGCTTTAATGCCTTTTACGTAGCACACAGAATAACAAAATTCGATAAAGGCTGGAGCAATGTCACAGACAGAGAGAGAATCACAAATGTTGTATGTGTGCATGTGTGCATATAGATATGTATTAGTGTATTTGTATGTGTATACAATCAATATGTGTATATATGTATACGGTAATGTGTGCATACGTATATTTGTGTGTGTGTACATGTGTATATATTTCAGCTTAGCTATCACTTTGAAGAAAATATAGTCTTTTTTGCCAGCTTTGGTGGTGTTTATGATTCTCCCTCAAAATCACTAATCAAAGAATATCAGAAACTTGATTGGAACTGAGAGGTGTTATCTTCTTGAGTTACTTACAGATCAATAGAAAATTTTGCTTTCTAGTATAAAAATTATAGTGCTGATCTTTTGCATTTATTTCTATTTGACTTATTCTGTTCATTTTTTGTGTACATATAATTTAGGGGTAAAGAATCTTTAATAACATGCATGTAGAAAAGTTCTGGATGCCCCAAGGTCTTCATACTCCTTTTCCTTTCCCGGTAGTGTATGATTTAGATGAGGAGAAATCTACACTTTCTCGAACTCTTCCCCAGTTTTCTAGAGTAAGAGATTGTTGTTGGTGCTTGCCATCCAGTTGATTCAGACTCATAACGAACTTATAGGACAGAGCAGAACTGCTCCATAGGGTTTCCAAGGCTGAAATCTTTACAAAAGCAAACTGCCACATCTCTCTCCCTCGGAACAGCTGGTGCATTCGAACTGCCATCCTTTGGGTTAGCAACCAAGCACTTAACCACTATGCCAACAGAGCTCCTTTGCAAAGGGATTAGCCACTGACAATTTTCTATGATATTCTGAAATAGAGGGTAGAGGTGCTCTGTTCCTCAATAGAACAAAAAGAGGCAAGCAGAGGTATTGTGGTTGAATGGTCTTGGTTGTGTACATGATTGGCCTCTCCCTGGGCCACTTCCACAGTGAGACTTACGGTAGAGCTGGGAGCATTTAACAGCAAATTCAGATATAGCCTGGTCTGTAGCACCACCTAGTTCTATTGACAATACATATATTAACATATTTTTCTTTGAGTCTGAGTCCTTACCCATGAGATAGAGATTCCAGATCATACTGTTACAACTGTTAGAAAAGAAGGCATTTTTAAGACACAGAGTTACAATGCAATGAAAAGAGCATGAGTTTTTGAACTGAACTTTGACAGCTCACAACCTAAGCTACCGTGTATGTAACTTCTCTGTAGAATCGTTTATGCTTTATCTCATTGTCTCGTTCCCTCCCCCACAAAAGCCACTGAGATAGAAATTAATGTTTCCATCTCAAAGGAAGCAAAATTAAGCACAATTTTAGTAACTGTCATCACATTGTTAACATAATTTCATTGTGTATTTAAAAATTCAAGATGTGAGAGAAAAATTACCCATGTATATAAAGCTTCTAGAAACTAACTGCATTTTGAAAGATTGTGAAGTATTAGCTGTCAAAATATGGTCATGTTTTGACCTGGTAATATATCTATGCTATCGCAAAATATTTCATGTACATGGAAAGCTTTATTAGAAAGATGACTTCAGACTATTAGGGTGTTGTCTTATACACTTGAACTTATTTTTTCCTTGTTCTGAAAGCAACTTCTGCTTTCATAATGGCCTTAACAATTGTACGTAATGTTTCTTCTAAAAGTGGTATCAGTTGAGCAATTTTTAGAAAAAGCTAAAATAATGAAAGATCATTTTGATTATTAAAATATAATTTAAAAAAGCCTTTTTTCGTAGCCCTTCCTTTGATGGAATTCCTGGTTGGATTCAATACTTAATAAACGAAGAAAAATTTCTATAGTCATAGAGGTTTAGTAGAACTAAGATAACATGTCCTTTTTCTTGTGGTTTCTCTCAAACAGAATAAATGCACTTTCCCAGTGAAAGTTTTGAAAAACATGGACATGGGCAATGAAATTGGATTTTTATCAATGCTACCAATAATTCAGTACTTCAGTCGATTCTGTGACCTATCATTATCCTCTCTGTTGGCAGCAAATTATCATCATTTACATTTTTAAATGTCTTTGAGAAAATGAATTCATTTATTCATTGAACATCTACTATTTATAAGACTATAAGACATTTTCTGCTTCATCCAAACTTTCTATTTTAGGATTTTGTACGATCCAACTCAAAATTTATCTTTTCAACATATACCTTTACTTCTTCATACTGTTTCTGTTAGGCTAGCCTACTGCCTAGTCCTCAAGTATGGCTTGGTCGTTTCTAACCTGATCACCTTTCTCTGCTTCTATGCCTAGACTAAAATACTTTCCTGAGTCTACCCACATTTCAAAAGATACCTCAAATCCTACTTCTTATGAGAATATGTCACATCCCCCAAAGACTCCAGCAGACCATGATTTTACTCTCATCTAAGTCCTTGAATAGTCACTGACCTTAACTCTCATTTAGCATGTTCTTATATATGAGTTAGCTCCAAAACTAGCTAGTGATACAGTTTTTCTCATACTTCTTCGTGTGTCCCAAAGTATCTAATAAATAACTTCAGACATGGTGATAAAAATATTAATTGATAATTATTATACTGTTATTTAACTGCTTGTGGGTGCAAAATTAATTAGTCACAGAATAATTGATTTACTACCTGAGGAAAGAATAATTTGAGGATATTTTTGAACTTTGTAGGTAAAGAAAGTACCACAAACTTGGTAGCATAAAGTAACAGAAATTTATTCTCTCACAATTATGGAGGCTAGAAGTCCGAAATAAAGGTATTGGCAGGGCCGTGTTTCCTCCACAGGCTCTAAGGGATGGTCCTTCCTTGCCTCTCCCACCTTCTGGTGGCTCCAGGTGTTGCTTGCCTTGTGGAAGTATAACTCCAACCTCTGCCTCCACTTTCACATAGTGTTTTTCCTGTGCGTTTCTGTCTTTGCATCTCTTCTTATAAGGACACCAGTCAGGACCTACCCTACTCCCATATGACTTCATCTTAAGTAATTACATCTGCAATGACTCATTTCATATTCTGAGTTTCCAGGAGGGACATCAATTTTGGGGGGACACTAACCTAGTAACCCAGTACATGTATATTTGGATATGGGTAAAAGTAGAAAGAAAATCTATATTGTAAACCTGGTGTCAAATATAAGTGGCTAACAGGCTAGCTGGTTTGAATTTTACCCATCACACCCCACCCCCTAAATTGGGTGTTTTTAAAGGATCTGTACCTAGGCTGGTGTTAAGGCTTGATCCTGATACAAGTAATTTTGCAATATCTTAACCTGGATATTTCTAC